GAAAGGGATCAAATCAGAGATTATTTAAATTCAGAACGCTTATTGAATTTATTTATATTGAGAATACAGTTATAAATATAATAAGTATAAAATAAATGCGATAAAATAAATTATTATCCTCATCATGAAACAAAGCGATTTCTTTGAAAACATTTTCACTTAAGGGTTTTGAAGAAATGATGTTGTTGCATTTTTAATAAACTAATATCACAATTAGGACATTTTGATGTCAGAAAAATTTGGATACTGTCCAAACAATTTCTTTAGCAACCGCTGTGATGGATGGTTATATTCGAATCTGCGATCGCTGCCGGCGTTTAAAACTTTTGGAAGTTAATTTAAATTTGCAATAATTTAGTTGGTAAACGTGGGACTAAGACATGTCCTCAAGATGAAGGCAGTATTTAATTTTTTGTTGACCATCTAGAAATAATCGAGCAAGGAGAAAATATATGAATCAAATTACGAAATAGTATACAACTAAAATATGGTTAATAAATCAAAATCTTAGACTTAAAATAGTGCTACGGAAATAAATTAAATTACTAAATCGACTTAAACAAAGTAGAGACACGTGCGTCAAGAACTAAGTTTAAGGCGGGTAATGGACAACTGAAAAATAATATCTGTTTAACCACTTGACAACGCCTTAGCAACCAAATTGTTTGGACTTTAACGTGGCGGACTCTCCTAAACATGTCTATTACCTTGGATAGACGCAGTGTTGCCATAAAAAATTTCAAGGTTGTAACAAGGAACGCAATGAACTTTTTATATAATTTCATTTATGCAAATTGAGTATTCATTACCTCCAAAAATTTCATTTTTACCTCACTTGGAATAATTTACCCCTGATATAAGAGAAAAAAGGGAGCCATTAAATTTTCCAGTTAGCAAAACCTTAATGAAAAAGACAAAAACATTGAGACTCATCATCGAAAAGTCAAAAATAAAAAAATAATACAGCAAGAAAAACAGCAAGCAATTTTAAATAGTTTGCAACAATCTTGCAGAATAATTTCAATACTGAGCTTGCCGTGAAGCAACACAGCAGACCGGTTGAAGCAAATTTCATGACGTATGAAATATGAGAAGATCATCGACAAGAACATAGAGGAAGGTCATCGTGTCAAGAGCTAATATGTTTGGAGTGATTATCTAAACAGCGGAAACATGTCCTTCTGAAACACAGTAAAGCATCTCTCAACAGCTCCCTGCGAAGGTGTCCGCTAAATAAATAAACTCACAATGTACTGCTGGAACAGTATCCTGAAAGTTCAGGTCCTCAAAATTAGATTTCTAGAGAACTCTCAAAATTTAGAAACTAGCGCCTGACTCAGTTCAGAAAAATGAGTTTAAAACAGAACGTAAATCTGCTCAAACTTTCTTACTCCTCAGCGCTACTCAAGGAACTCTAATGCATCAGAGACCACAACGTTGTGTAGAACACATTGCAGCACTCACAGTAAATGAGCTTAAATTTTGCGATGAAATGAACTTATATAATATTAGATGAATTACCATTTAGAACGAATGGGAATCACGTATCAGGGTTTTCACTGCTCGAGTCTACACCATTCCTTAGCGTTGTTTTGTGGTCATGATCTGAGGTCAAAGGACCTCAAATAGCAACAGCGCTGTAACCTAGATTTATTACGCCAGTCGTTAGTATGGCAGGGGAGAGGAAGTGATTATTATGGAACCACGGTGTTGATGATGATTGGGGGGGTGGATGACTAGACGACGATGGCAAAAATGATTTTACAACCAATGCTCAACTAAATACTGCGTTAATACTTGTTGTTTACTTTATTATGCTATAGCTTGCGATGTAACGAGGTCATTCGTAAGTTTTCGTTATCAGCTTTGTGCCGATTTTAAAGAGTAAACAACTCAAGAAGTATGTCTATTGATCTACATTTTCTATGTCAAATTGTGTCCCAAAACAGATAAAGTGTGCATTTTGGGAGATTATGTGAATCTTCTAGAATACCGTCAGAAAAAATATCTCAATGACGACTTTCAGCCATGTACTCAGCTGGCCACTCCATATTTGAGTGCTAACCAGTCATTGAGGTATACCGTAGTTTTACAGAAGACGTCACGTGCGGTGCCACACTCACTTGTAGCCTAAAGTGTCAACTGTGACGGACAAGTGTCTCGGACCCAGTCCACATTGGTAGAGATTTCTGCTGTCTTCCGGCAACAGATCGACGTCATGAAAAATATAGCACGGAAAATCTGCCCAGTGCTTGGCGAACAGGAAGCCGACATTCATCAGTTTTCCCTTGTTAAACGTTTGATCAGCAATCTAAAGCGTTTCTGTAGCCGGATTAGGCGGAAATCATGGAAGCACGTCGCACCTGTTCTACGACAAAAATATGAGATGAGACGTTCTGCGCATTTAGGAACGGCAGTAGGTGTCTCAGCAGTTCATCCAGATGAGCCGTTCTGTTTCTGAAAGGGATAATCAACGCGATATCTGCCGACGTGCGATTTGTGTAAAGATCCGTGTCTTCGAAACTCGGCTCTGGCGAGGTAGCATTTTCCGTTGACAATTCGGTGACTGTCGGCGTCATACCTGAATTCAATGCTTGCACGAAGAAAACATATACTGAAAAGCAGAGAAAGATGAAACTTATCAAAAATGAAAAATGGCTATCTATCATTAGTCGATGAATAATTAGATATTTGAGTTCATCGACGTATGAAGAAAGGCGCAATTTATCTTTCTGGCTAGCAAATGTGGAGGCTGAGGGAAAAACGATATGCAGGAGACTTGCCGTAACTTTGGGAGCGAATGTGTTGAACTATTAAACAGAGCCTACGATAATATATCCTAAATCATTTTCGATATGTTGTACCTCAATGAGTATAATGTGAAGTTTTAGTTTTTTTTAAATGAGTAAAATTTGAGGTGTCTGTCATAAATTCAAAATCATTGTTTCGAGGAGAGCTAAGGCACGACGAAAATTTACACATGTAACAAGTTTCTGCGCTCTAATCGCTCAAACAACCTTCGAGAGGGATCTTCTCATTTCTAAATTAATGAGAAATAATGCGATGTCAGTGAATCGATTTGCATGCGTTTTGTACACCTGGATAAGACTTATGACCGTGAGCGTATCAGCGGATCGACGGTCAGTGGTGCCGAGGCATCCAGTCACCATACGTCGATGGCACTTGGTGGGTGAGAGCAAACGGCGCGTGGTGGAGATCTTTCAACTTCGTCACTGGGCTCCGTGAATTTGTCGCCATGTTCCCTCATCTGTCTGCGTTATGCAGTGAGAAGAGAGTCAGACGTAGAGGATGTAGAAACGAGAGGTTTGCTATTTGTAAATGATCCTGTTTTGTTGGCATCTTCTTTGGAAAAGATGGCAACCGAATGCGACGACGTGGCAGCCATGCGTGTGACCTTGTTTAAAGCGAAAGACCTAGCGCTTTCTCGTTTCCCTGCTCGTTCTGCTATGAAAATAAACAGAGAAGTTATTAAACATATGGAGATCATCAGGTTAATTAAGGTCGTGTTTATTTGTGTTAGGAAATGGAGGCAGAAATTGACTGAGGAACTAGAATGATTAGCCGCTTTCTGAGTGAAGCAGTCCGAACTACTGTGGCTAAGGCAGAGCTGAGTCTAATGAGGTTGCTGTTTGTGTCGAAGTCAATGATCATTCCCATGCTCCCCTACGGTCAAGAATCGTGGACCATGATTGAGAAATTGTGATCCGTCTTACATCGACTGATATTTGCTTTCTGAGACAAATCGCTGACCACATTTCCCCAGAAATGTCAAGGGTTAGATATACTAGGAACCGTAGGTGTATAACCGCCTTTTCTTCTGAGAAGTCGCAAGTGCACTGGGTTGGGCGCGTCTTTCGGATCCTCCTCAGAAAGGCGATACAGCTACTACCTCCTTGTGTGTCCTCCTGAACACAGAAAAAAATCAAGAAATTCTTTGGGCAAGTACCTCGACACAATTGCTATTGAATCAGGTTGTCTTCTACTAAAACATATA